TATTTCGTTTAAGCTAATAAGGAACTGTTAGTAGAATTTTCCACAATTATATGAGTAGAGCTGACGTTTCCATTAAATTTCACACCGCCTTGCTTTCCCAAAAGTGGTTCTCATCCAGGGTGTACTACAGTTTCGACCAGCATACGAACTTGACATGTTAACCACTGCCACGAGTGCTCTTAGGTCATAGATATGTGAATCTCAAGGAAGTCCATGCCTTTTTCTCATATCACATTCTTCGGTGGGATTTTAGATGAAGCAAACGTAATTTTGCTATAGCAATCGACTATAGTACATATTTTTAGTATATAAGTAGAGCTTGGAGACTACCAGTAAATCAGTAATATGAGATGTATTCACCCTATTTCATTTTAGGTGATGAAGGGCCGGTAATAGAATTTTCCCACAACGAAACGAAATAGGCTGATTACATCTCCTATAACTGATTTACTGGTAGTCACGAGACTCTACTTATATACGTAAAATAAGTAATAATAAGTCGATTGTTATAGCAAAAATACGTTTGCTTCATCGATAATCCCAACAAAGAATGTAATATGGAAAAAGGCCTGGCCTTTCTCGAAATTGACACCTGCCCTGTGACCCAAGGGCCCTCGTGACAATCTAGCAGAGTGGTTAGAATTTCAAACTCGCAGGCTGAACTGTCACGGTCGACAACTGCTGGGGGTGTTGATAAGACCTATGCGAGGTCCAAACGGTAGTCCAGCCTGGATCAAAAAAAACTTTCGGGAAAGCAAGGCAATGTAAAATCCATTGAAAACGACAGTTCTACTCAGATCAATGTGGACAAATGCTAATACCAGTTCTTCATCATCTTAAACGAAAAAGGATCAATACATCTCATATAAGACACAGACACACTTCGAGACACCAGGCCATTTAGATTTAGGGTTCTGATGTTTGGAAAGTGAAGGAGACTCAGAAGCTAATCCAGCTTTATAGATGTGGGTTGACCTCGTTGTCGCAACTTGATCTTGGGGTCAGGGAGACTATGTAGAACGCACCTAGTCCGAAGTCGTCTGCC